TAAAAATTGTTTAGTCCAGCTAGATAAAATGATAGCAAACCTTCTCATCATTTTGTACTTCTGTTTCTAGGACATTCTTGCATTTGCCATCCATCAGTCACTAGGTAAGGTAAACATAAGGGGAAAACTTTCCATTATGACAAAAATCCATTAATACTTTGTCATTAACATTTAAGCACCTTCAAATCCTTCCACTTAATTGATGGGAAGGAAATGAGTCTCTTACCCTCTTTCCAATCCAAAATAATAGCTATCATTTTCACTAATAGACAATAGAAATGCATATAGCATGCTGCAATAGACATCAATCTATTTTACAAGTACCCTAGTAAATTAAGTGCCACTGAATTGTAATTTTCTGTTGTACACAATATACATATAATAAATTTCGCATTGTGTTACATTGCTCAGAGAAGTAGGAAACAGCTAGAAGAAAAAATACATTTTGAATTGTGATATTATAGTGAGAAAGGCAGAGGAAGAGAGTAGTTTAATCACTCAGTTCAGGGTTATTGAAACCATAGATTTCAGAAGAGTGAGATTGACTGAGCCTGGGATTAAGTTGTCAGGGGCCTACATCTTCTACCAACAACTTCATCACTAAACAATGGATTTATTAACACATTCATTGTCATTTTTGCAAAAGTAAACAGCATCTCCTTCAAGTGAAAATGTAGTTATGCTCAAGGAAGACACACCATTCTACATTCACACTACTTTCCCATCTATGCCTTGCTTGATGAGTGAGCATATCATAAGAGATGATAACTCATACACAAAACATGAAAACATATTTATTAGTCAAGTCACTACAAGACTTCAGAAGAGCTCCTTCATCCTGTCATAAATCAACAATGTTGCTTTTTACATTTTGCTACCCATAAAAATGACCACCACCTGCTTCTCCTCCTTCTGTTCATTTTGGGGGAATGAAAAGATCCTGAGATCATTTAAAAGCAATAAGCATACTCATTGCCTAAAACATAGCATCTACTTGTTGCTTAGATTCTGGTTGCTTATGATAAAGATACAAGTTTCTGATCATTCATCATTAAAATGTTTATCCCAATGTTACTATGATCTAAAACCTCATCCTTAAAAATACTCATCTCCCCAAAATCCTAATTCTGATCTCTACATTTTGGAATCAAGCCCCAATATTCCTCCCATTCTTAAGATGTGTTTACTGATTTTAAATGCTACTCCACAGAGAAGTGCACATTTCATTTAATTATGATTACATAAAATGCGATATACTGCTCCTCTTAGGCTAATAACATTCAGTAAGGTGTACCGTCTTTCAATGGAAAAAGGTTTGTTGTCAAAAATATCCTCTTGTAGGACACTGTTTAATTGTTCTGGAGAGCAGTGATAGTATGCAATTCTGCCATATTGATTTTGGATATACTTCTACAGGAAAAATATTTTTATCTTATAGATGAGAATGTCAGACTACCAAATAAGGTAGAATCAACTAGTAGTGATGTCAGGTGAAAATTCTGCCACTTGGGGAAAATATGCAAAAACTTCAATAGGAGCTGATTCTCCCAATTATTATTAGAATGTGTATTGAGAAAACAGTGAAGATAGGGTGAAAAGAAATGAAAGAAGGAGATGAAAGAAATAAATTCAAAGAGAGAGGTTTCACAGCTAAAATATTGAATGCAGTGTTGGAATGAGGGATTATTATACTAAGTGGTACATATAAAGTCCAATTTCACATCCTATTTTGCTTCTCTACCCCAATGTAACTTCTAGCAATCAGGAGATCTGTACAAGGGAGAGTGCCAATCCCATAGAAATGCCGTTGTAAGAACAGCAATAACAATGAGGTAGGCTTCAAGAGCAGCAGGTAAAGTTGGGGGAAACAATGAGTAAACAGGCTCATGTTGTGGGAGTATGCTTCTATGGCTACAAATGTATATATAAGTGTACATATGTATAGGGCAGTAGAAAGTGCTGGAAGGTCTAGAGGAGGAATGCAGAATAAATTGTGGGGCTAAAAGATTGGCTTATCCCTAAGTAGTGGTGGGTAAAAGGAGAAATTTCTGGGATACATCAGGCCAGGACCCCTCACCAGTCTCTTTTCTATGATCTTTTAAATGTCTGTGACAAAGGGCAGCTAAGTGGCACAGTAGATACAGCATTGGCCCTGGAGTCAGGAGGACCTGAGTTCAAATCCAGCCTCAGACTAGACACCTGATACATACTAGCTGTGTGACCCTGGGCAAGTCACTTATAACCCCAACTGCCTTTAAAAAAAAAATGTCTGTGATAGTAGTTCAGCAATAACTCTGCTAGTAATTTAGGACCCAAAGAGGTGGTACATCTGGGTCAAGTGACTTGAACTCAACAAATATGATTAGGTTCCTTCTTACTATCTCTTTACTTAATTTAGACATCAACTTCCTGTTGATTATATATTTTTTCAAAATAATGGTGAACCAGTTAGTCAACAAGCATATACAAAGTGCTTTCTACGTGACAGGCATTATCCCTATTCTCCTTTGTACAGAAAAAATTAAGATAAGAATTGGGCAGCTCTACCTATGCTCTGTTGTCAGTTACCATTTTCCCAAGGTAAGTTCCTGTCCTTTCTTGTAAACATCCCTTTTCTCCTTTTTAAAATGTCCCAAACCCATTTTGTTGTTCTTAGGAAAAGGAACACTAATGGACTGTGGTAGATGTGTGATAGTTCTCAAAAGTAATTTGTGATTATATCCTAAAAGTCACCAAACCAAAATATCCTTTGAATAGAATATAAGACATCCAAGATATATGGAAAAGATCCATATGTACAAACATATTTATAGCAGCACTTTTTTTTTAATTGCAAAGAACTGGAAACAAAAGTAATGTCCATCACTTAAGGATAACCTGAAGAAATTATATAAGTGAATATTGTTGAAATGTAAGATATGACAAAAGGGATTCAGAGAATTCTGATATGAACTGATACAAAATGAGCTTTGCAGAACCAGGAGAAAATTTTTAACTAGCTACACTATTTAAAGGAACAATTTGATCAATGCAATGACCAATCATTTCTCTAGAACATTAAGGATGAATCATGCTTCCTGTTTTTTACTGGAGAATTAATAGATTCTCAGTATAGAATGATACATACACTTCAAGATTATCTATTTTTAAAAGATTTTGTGAATATTAAAAAATGCTTATTTGTTAAAATGAAGTGTGTACTTGGGAAAGGGAGCACCATAGCCAGAAGTGGGGAGAAGTGATTGATATGCCTCAAAAAACTGAAACAAAGAAAAGATCATGAATGAAATATTTTTTAAATGTCCAGCAGAAAGCAGAATGAAGTTCAACCAGTGACAGACAAAGGCAAGTGTCACTATGTCCATGTAAAATTCATGTATACTGAAAAAAATGAATATGGTATGATCATTGTTTCATTCACCCCACAGATCCTCTGAAACAGCTTATATATCCTCTTTTCTCCATTGATACATAAACAACCCTAATTAAGGAATTTATCATACCTCTTGCCTGGACTATTGCAATAGCCCTCTAGGTGCTCTCCCTTTCTCAAATCTTTTCCCTCTCTATTGACCCTCTCCTCAGTAGCCAGAAGGATTTTCCTAAAGAACAAGTGTGATCAAAATACCTCTACCTCAACCAATAAACTCCAGCGTTTCTGATGAACTACAGGATCAAATATAAAGTCCTCTGTCATTGAAAGCTCTTTGTAAATTGTCTCCTTACTACTTTTCCAATACTTTTACATTTTAATTTTACTTCCCTTCATGCACTCTAAGATCCAGCTACATTAGCCTCATATTCAATGTTTTATCTCAAGTTTTCTTAGTTTTGCACGAACTGTCTCCCATACCTGGAATACCTTTCTTGTTACCCTTACCTCTTAGGTTACTGGATTCCTTCAAGACATAGCTCAAATCCTACCTTCTACAAAAGGCCTTAGCTAATGCTAGCTGCTATTGCTTCCTTCTGCTCTCAGATAACCCCCCATCATCTCTCTGTATGTATAAAATCTTATTTGCCAAGTCATTCACATGTAAGCTCCTTGGGAAGAGATCATTATTGTCCTGGTATTCCCAGAACTCAATGCCTGCCAAATACTATGCACTTGACAAATGCTTCTTGACAAGATGACTGACTCATATAGCCATGCTCTTTTTGTATACTTCTTTGTATATGGAAATGATCACGTTTGCTGATGATTATCAAACTCATATTAATCAAAAAACTAAGAGAAGAACCATTTATGTTCTTTCTTTCTTATTTAGTTCCTCAAGAAAGATATTACATATGTGTCCTGGACAAAAAATTTGAAAATGTTGCACAGAAAGAAGGCTAATTATTAAAAAGTAGCACAATGGTTAATTAAAAAAAAACAAAAAACTAAATTCCAAAGCAAGAAATAGGCAACTCTTTCACTGACTTTTGGAATCTTAAGGAAGGTATGTGATTTTTGTGACCATCATAGGAGAAAATGTTGACAAAAATGTTCTGAAATTCTAAGAAAAGAGCTAAAAAGCAACAACAAAATAATTATTAACAATAAAATTTTTAAATGTTATTCTAAATGAAGCACATAGTTAAATATATATGTATATTCCACTTTAGCCTTCAGGTTTACATATAACTAAGTCCCAAAACAACCCCCTTTGGTACTTACTAGTGATTCAGCACTCTTATAATGATCCAAAACTAAAAGGCTAAAAATATTCTTAGTGCTATTAAAAAATATAACTACACACGTACCTGGTCTCTGAATAAACAGGTTTCCTTAATTTCTAGGAATAAATCTCTTACTCTTAGGTAGCAATCTCAAATCTAAAATATGTAATTAGGATATAATATTTTCACTTTGTGGCTTTGATTAACAAGATGCTGTCCAAGCAAAACTCCTTATAGCTAGAAAATTGACCAACGGTAAGAAGCATAGTATGGTGGAAACATCTGTGTCAACAAGTCCATTTACCTAAACTCATGTCACATCAACTAGAAACACTTACCATCTGAGCGCAATTTTGATAGGTGTTGTAAGGCATGATGTGAAAAGGTCAGCCGGAAGGTCAGGTATCATAGGTAGTAGTTCATTAGCTTCACATGCTGCTAGTTGAATGCAGTTTTTCATTGATGGGGGCAAAGGCATCTGGGCAAGTGGATGACTTGGGTTAATTGCAGCTACCTACAGGGGAGAATGTTAAAGAAAAAAAAGTGACTCATTTGGAGAATAACTTGGAAAATATATCTGAGCACAAAAGAATGAATTAGCTATCACTGGTAGTTTTGGATTTTCTCTGGAGTTTTTTCTTATTAGCAAAGCTGGACTAAATTTTGAATCAAAGTCAAACATGCCAAATCTCAGTTTTGAAATGCAAACACTATGATCAGCCTTTCAAATCTGAAAAACAGGAACTAACTTACTATAGTGCATTAGAGAAAAATATGGTTTATGTTTCCTTTTTCAAAAGTTAGATAGTGGAACCAACAGCAAAACGATTTTCTTCTTTATAACTTAAGAGCGATGAGACATACATAGGGCAACTAACTCCTTTTGCAGTTTCTTCAAAGAACAATTATTCAGATTCATATTTGGTTCAGATACTCTAATAGTAAAGTTGAATGCTCTTACTAAGTATTCAAATTGATGATTTGGAAGAAATCAGGTGATTGTGAAGAAAGAAGAATCTGAAATTTCATAGAAAACATTATTATAAAATGACAATCTTGCCCAAATAAAATAACTCTGGTTTCATAAGACAGTAATATCTTGTCTTTGTTATGGAAAAAAATTAATTTACCAGTAAAGTGGGGCTGTTCTTGAATTATTTCAATAGGAAGTACGTTTGAAAGCACTGTAAGCAGTTAGGAAAGAAAGCACTATATAAATCCAAATTATTATTTTTATTTTCCCATGATTACATGAAATAAAATCTGAAGGTATGAAATGAAAATAATTAGTTCTCTATAACCAATTAAGGTGCTTTAAATTCAATGCACTGGAAAGCCAAAGCTCAGTTAGTAGATGAAATCATACATACATAGAGTAAGCCTGTGGTTTAGCAACAGCAGAGTTAATCTCTACTACCTAACACTCTCAAATATCACCATTCCCATGCTGCCAAAAAGGATGTGCTCAAAAAATGCAAACAAATTCTAATATTTGCTAAACAAAATACGATTAAGAGAGTAAATCTGCTTGGAAATCATGTAATGAATTCCATTTGTACCATAGTGTCACTCTATTACCATGAGTACAATCAAGTGTTTACTACAATAAAGAAATTCCATTTATCAGACAGATAGCAGTACTGTATTAATGATTCATGAAAGACTAATAAAATTAAATCTACTGAGTATAGTGCTTTTTGATTTTGCTGACCATTTATTTTGTACTCCTAACAAGGAACAAAATCTGGCAGTTCACAACAGGTTTTATCATTTACAAGAAAGAATGAGATTCACAAGAATACATGGCATGTCAGTATACTGTACTGAGATTTCCTGATCCTGAAAATAATTAGGGAGAGGAAAATTTCAGAACTAGCTTTGTTAAAAAAAAAAAAAAACAAAATACTTTGAACTGAATAGGGCAAGATAGACATACATAAGAAATAACTTGCTTTAGAACTGGCCTGTGAGTCACTATCAGGTTATGTGAGATCCACAAAGGGAGTAATTTATGATCTGAAGATCACTGTCACAGCAGAAAACTTCCAGGAATCACTCTAAAAAAAAAAATTTCTAAAATACTTCTCCAGATACATGTGCCACAAAACATAAATGTAGTGCATGAAATAAAATAGACGATAGCACCATAGTCAAATGAAGAAATGAGACTAGAGAGACATAGAAAGAAGTCCTTCAATAAGTTAGGTCCTTTGTCATCCTCCGAATTACTAGACCACTCTAGCAAGAATCCTACCCTCCTCCCCACTATTTATAGAACGTTCTTCCCCAGCTCCCTGGTGAAAACTAGAATATGAAGGTATAAGTCACATATCTAAACCTATATATCTACTGCCACATTTTTCATAGCACCTAGAGAGAGCGAACTAAAAACCTACAACCTTTCTTACTGACATTCAAAGAGCAAGCATTATTTACACAAAATGAAAATATTTATATTCACTTCTCCTAGAACCAGACAATTAAAAAAAACTTTTAAAGTGACCAATTTGTTATTTAAAAAACTCTTAAGAACTATGCTCTACTCCCTCCCTCCCCCACCACCCAGGATATGCAATTACTTGAATAACTGGAAAGATGCCATTATAATACTATACTGGCAAATGCTGAACTATTTTATGTGTCTACATTTTATATCTATCCATATCACTGTACTCATATTACAGAACTCCATCACAAACAAGCGGGACATTTTTGAAAGATACATGCTAAGAAAGAGTTGTGAACTATTAACAAGGATATAAAAGAATATTCCAAATCACTGATACAAGAAATGAAAAATCAAAACAATTCTGGGTTTTTACCTCACACCCACTGAAGGGGACACAGAAAAACACGCCAGCATTGTATTTACTGGTGGTGGAATTGTAAATAAGTACAACCAGTCTAAAAAGCTGCTTTTGAATTATGCAAACAAAATTACTACAATTGTTTATATCATTTGGAACAGCAATTCCATTGCTAGATATAATATACTCTAAGGAGGTCACAGACAAAAAGGGTCCACGTACACAAAAATGTTTACAAGTAGCACATCTTGTGTTAGCAAAGAACTGGATGGAAGGAGATATCCATTGACTGGGGACTGGCTAAACAAAATGTGGAACATGAATACAATGGAATATTACTGTGCTATAAGAAAAGATGAATATGATAACTTCAGAGAAGCAAAGAAAATCTTGCATAAGATGATGCAAAATGAAGTAGAGTCAAGAAAACAATATGAAAATAACTATCAATGTAAATGAAAAGAAATTAATATAACTTAAAATGAATGTTGTGAAATTATAAAAAAACAAGCCAGGCCCCAAAGAAGTTAGATGAGAAGAAACCTCCCCTCATTCCTTTGCGGAGAACTGAGGGAGTAAGATGGTCCATAGGGAGTAACATTGTATATAAATTTTTCTATTGATTGATCATTTTTTATTTTTTAAAATATTCTTTGTTATAAAGGATGGATCTCTTGAAGGGAGAGAAAAATCTAGGTGATATAAAAACAAAAGTTATTAATACAAATCTATTTTAATGGGTATAAAAATTTTGTTAATGATTTTGAGCTTCAAAAGAACTTAACTTGTGTATAAATTTTTCCAAACCCTTTTTTAAGTACCAAATGCTTAAAATTGTTAATGTATTTATCATAGTAATCTCTTGCCTCCCCCCAACCCCTAATTGTGTTCTCATACTTTAAGTAGATTACCCCATTGAATATGGATATACATAGACAGCAGAGTTAAATGACTTACCTAAGGTCAAAAAATTACTCGGAATGACAAAATTAGAACCTAGGTCTCCTGTGTGTTGAGATGTTTTCCATAACATTTTGCCTCTCTTTTGAATAGGGATACTCTTGGCCCAAAACATATGCTATAAGGTTCAAAGAAATAATGACTAAATACTATTGTTTTTTTTTAAAGATAAATGCATACATAGAATGAATCGTACATACTCAGAAGTGTATCAATGCATCATATGATTACTGTGTTATAATACAGTGTTTTTAATGCTTCAACTTTCAAATAGAGAGCACTAAGCATGTTTCATTAAAAACCCATCCCACTATAAGGACAACAAATCCTAGAACACAATGGTATATTTAAAAATAAACAAAGGCTTAAAGTTTGTTATGAACACTGTAACCTTTAATACATTTGCTTCTAAAAAGCAGAAAGGGAATATTTTAAAAAACTAAGGCTCTTCTCCAGATATACAAACTAATAGAGCATCAGCAAATATAACTTGTACCACTCAGGAAATTACTTCTTAGGTCTATTGTGACAACCCTGCTAAGAAATATGATTGGTTTGAGTACAATTTGAGTCTGAAGCTCATCAAATCTGAGTCATGAAAAAAGATTCGTGGAGTCTAAGAGATGTGTCAGAACAGGCTTCACACATAAGTATTTCACAGATAGAATGCATTCAGCTGGAGGCATCCTTACAACAGCATCCAGGGACTTAGTTGTTTTTGCGTAAATGCCACCTCTTTCACTCTGGATGTTTTATGAGAATAGATGCCACTGTGCCTGCCCGCCCCCCCCCCAAAAAAAACACACATAGAAAAGGAGGTGGCAGGAAAAGGAAATGAACAGGAAATGTTATAAGAATGTGGAAGATGACAGGAAAATTGGGACAAACCTCAGGAGAATGAGGTTTATTGGTCCCTAATCTGAAATTGAGTCATTTTGAAATTGTATTGCCTTAGTCCAAAAAGAAGCAGGCTGCCATTAGTAATAAAACATTACCACTACTGAGGCATAGTACTATAAGAATGGATTACAAGATTATTAAAAACCATCAACTTCCAGAAGCCAAATGGTGGAGTAAGCAGTAAATCACCATAACTCACCCATATTCACCTCCAAACAACCATAAAATAGCACCCCAAAACAAATCCTGGAACAACAGAGTCAGCAAAAAGATGGAGCAAAACAATCTGTGAGCCCAAGAAACTTGAAGGATTGGTAGAAAATGTCTGTCTCACTCAAGTAAAAGAGGCGTGCAATCCAGGACAGGAAGTATCCCTGCAAGCCAGCAGTAAGCCCCACCTCAGCAAACCAGTGGAAGATTCTGAGCCCCACTGCAGTGGAGCAGACAAAAGCCAACAGTAGGACCCCCCCATGTGCCTCAGCATAGCCAGGGGAACTGGCAGACTCCAGCTTGGAGAACCATAACAAGCTTCAGCATAGCCCCAGGCAAACAGGCAACCTCTAGCAGCCAGGCCTCCTTGGCAGTCGTGGGTAAACAGCAAGCCACCAGCGACCAAAAGATCACGTGAGTCAGTGTATCCCTGGGGAAATGTAGAAACACCCCACTAGCCCCAGCATACTCCAGACTAGGAACCTGACTTAGTACCAGCTAAGCTGCCAGATCCCTACAACCTCCAGCAGGGCCAGCAACCCCTCAACCCACATCCCAGCACAGCAGCAGACAGAAAGGTCCACCGTGGGCTTCAGGACATTTAGGGTAGGCAGCACCAGGTAAACAGTGAGGGCCT